TATAGTCATTGAATCCAAGACATTTTTTGTTGTTATAGTCCTCGCATTTTGCCTTCAACAAAAGTGATTGCCTGAGGTTTGCAACCTGTATATATGACACCTAGAATAAAAACATCGTAAGAAAAGACAATTAAAACAATGAAATTTAGGAATAACTCATTATGTTTCCATATTCGGAGCGACTGTACATTGCAAAGTAAGTCAAGGCTAACTCCTTGGTCAAGGTATGGACTATATAAAATATTTTATCATATTCTTCAATGGCTTTCCAGTCTACTTTTATGCAAAAAAAAATGTTTGCACTTTGCTCTGCGGCCACCATGTTTTTTAGGAGTTACGTAATGAGTTTGATTGTCTTGCACAATTGAGCCTGATAATAACATTTGTATCCATTTTGCAACCGTAAATCTTGTTAAGCTCACTATGAAACTATTTGAAATGAGGTTGTCTAAGCGTTCTCGTTCTTAAAGGATGGAGAAAGTATTACATTATTTTTTAAACGACAACATACATCGCGAACAACGCCAGCGACAACGCTTCCGTGATTACCAAGACTCATGATGAGAAGCTAGCTATTGCCAACAGACAACATAGCATGTAGAATATTGAATAAGTGCTTTCAAAATGCATTCTTTTAAAGAGAGAGAGAGAATAGAGATAGAGAGTGTGCAAATGTGATTTAGTGCCAGCTTTCTTTGCGTTACGTAAGAGTTTGGCGGCGCAAGGTTGGCAAACACTCGATATTGCATCGAAAGTGGGAGGTTTGTTGTGCGTGGGGATGAGAGTTGCTGTTTGCCGACACGATTATCATCCAGGCATTGGGCAAACACTAATTTAAATGCATGGGACTAGTCGTCCAATAAAATAAAAGTCGAACGAGAAAGTAGATCGACACACAGTAGTGATGTGTAGACCCCCGTTTGCAATAAAAAAATAAAAATTTTGTCGGAATTATACAGGTTTGTATGTATTGGGCGTTGAAGTGCGTATATTTTATCACAATGTATATAACACGATAGACAGGTTTACTTAATTAACATAATTATTTAAATGCTATGCATATTTTTTAGCATGTTGAAAACTTGCCCGATAATTGCCCGATATATATAAAAACACGTAATGTATACAGACTGGATTTCAATTAATATAGCTCATTCATTATATCAGGTTACTGGGATAACCCACCACTAAATCCCCAGGAAAGAAACATTAATTTGAGTAAACGGTCAATTTTCATATTGTTGGATTCTTGAATAGATCTTTATTCATACTATAATGCAACTTTTATTTAAATTTATGACGTTTCCTCCAAGAGTAATTAGTGAAGGAGAATTCAATTTACTGTGATTGACCGTGTTCCGGATGACAATTCTTTATGTTTAAGTTTAAAGACAGCTTTAAGGTCATGTTCCGAATTAAGATTCACATCAAGATACATTGCAACTGGCTTATTGCATACGCGATTGTTTAAGATAGTAGGCCCTACCCCGAAAATTCTTACGCGAATTGTGACAAAACATGAAAATGATGAGCCGCTGCGGCTTATGAAAGAAATTTGGATAGAAAAATCATGAAAACATATAGTTAGCTCATGAGGGAGGCCCGTGTTTACAGACAATTTACAACAATATATAGGCCTACAAAGTAATTCGGTGCCGTATCAAATTTGTAATTGTTCTTATGAAGTAGAGAGAATAACCTGGTTCTGAATATGCGTTTCACTAAGGAACCTATTGATATAATTATTTCTTGGAATACAAGTTTTTAAATGTTTTGGTTAGTTGTAAAAATTAAAAATACCCTGACAACTTAGTGTTATACTTCTCACACATATCTTTTTCTTACTCTTTACAAATGCTTTGGGATAGCCCAGCCTATTTTAACAAAATAAGCCTTCATGTCTAAAGTTATGCTTGGGTTGTAGTTGTTGTTGTTGGTTACAGTTTAATGGCGTTCATTCAGTATTGAATATATACACCATATCTTCCGTTTATAAGAAAATCAGTTATCCATAAAGAAAACTGAAAGTAAAAATTTGAAATGATATAATTAATTAACCAGTATCGCAATTTATTATAGTCTCTGGATGGTTTGCAACTTCGTTTTTAAAACGTTTAATCTGGTTAGCCCGGTTTCGATTGCATAGAAATCTGCATGGGTAAATTGGTGTGTATTGGTGTGTATTGTTGTTGTATATATATATATATATATACATTGATGAATGATCTTTTTTATTTTTTTTTATTTGGTAATCAAAAATAACATAAAAGCCAACTGGTTATTTACAATGAATGATCTTTTTTAGTGGTGTACAGTTTATAGTTTGGCGCAGCGCTTTTGCCTAGCCCGCCACTAGATGGCGGTATAGCAATCAATTTTGTCATTGCTAGAACTTTGTCATCTCAACTCGGTGGCGGATCTCGATTTCTCTTGAAGGGGGAGATCGAGGACAACATTTTGAAAATACTGCGAGGATTAGGGGGGGGGGGGGGGGTCAATTTTTGGTGAATGTAAGATATGCCAAAGTGCCCCCGTAAATGCCAATGCAAGTTCTGTTAACATGGACTGTATGTTTGTATATTTTGCTCTCTCTCTCGCTCTCTCTCTCTCTCTCTCCTTTTGCTTGTTATAAGTGGAGAATATCAGTAATGTTTCATTTTGAAATTGACCCTCCCGATGAAGCCTAACATTCAAATCAGGAATGTTTTTATACAAAGAAAAAAATATGTTTTTCTATAATGAGAGCAAAGTTGAAATTATTAAAAGGCAGGAAAGAATGGTGAAATTTCGAAACGATGACAAAAAGTGAATTGGACATAAAACTGAAATCTTGAAAATGTTTGCTTTAGATCCATTAATCTAGGGTAGCGTGTGTCCATTAGATTTTATACGATCCAATTCAGAATTAACAGAAATCATGCACCCCCACGCATCTATTTACATCTACGATCTACCCATCTATCTATCGGTGGAATGGAATAAAATACCTATACCTATCATTTTATGATCTATCTGCATGTATCTTTATAGATTCTATATCAACCAACCAATCAATCAACCACACGATCAATCATTCAATCTATCATTCATTATAATTGTTTATAAAAATCTATTCATACCTTTATCAATAATTATATCTATTCATATCTTTTTTTAATTATTTATATGTTTTATTGACCATTTATAATCACATTTTTACAAACAATCATAGGAGAAATTACAGTTAAAACAAAAAGAAAAAACTAAAAACCAAAACAAACCAAAAAAGCAGCAATAATTTATACGAAAGTATAAAACAATGTAAAGCTAAAGTCCTACTCAGCCGCGGGGGCTCGGGGAAACGGGCTCCTGCAATTCCAGCATGAACAACCCGATAACACACATTAAAAAAAAAACCCGACCAGGTGACCACGAGCAGACTTCCGCAAAAAGGGATCGCTCCCCAAATCCCCTGCGGCGCATTCCTTGAGCAAGAGATGGCAACGAATAATCAGAAACGGTTATGAATCTACATCAAAACTTCAAAGTTAAAAAAAAGATTAAAAAAGATCCAATGTACATTCTATAAACATACAACTTCTTATATGTACATTACATTCTACATGAAAGTTAAACATCGAATTTCCATTTTTTTAAATGGATGGAAAGTTTGTTTCTCCTTTTTGCAAGGAAATACTCAGTTTCTTTATGTGTCTTGACAAAATATCTTAGTTGGTAAACTACTCTTGAATTTACAGGTGTATATCAAATATTTTAAGAGCAGGAATAAATATGACAAGAATTTGTCAGAAGGGGTACCAAAAAGCTTTTCAGAATTGGTTAAATCAAACCTTGGATCAACTTTGAGGTGAATTAAGGTTAATAATTAATTCCAAAGTGGTGTTACCTTCTCATATTCACAAAATATGTGAACTGTTGTCTCTTCTTCTTTGTTAAAAAAAATACAATTAGGGGAGTCCTTCCTCTTGAGTTTATACAAAAATGCATTCAAAGCGATAGCGAACGTAAACGAGTATCAATGGTGCAACGAAAATTATTAACATGAATCTTGTCCCAGCTTGTATCTTGTGGTATTGTGAGTTTATCATGCCAATAATCATATCGATTTTGAGGAGAACACTGGTTACAAAGTACTTTGTATACATAACTGGGTATTTTTCTTGTACTCATCAACAGGTGTCAAAAACATCATTATCCTGACCATTTGGTTTTTAAGCCACTCATTGGGTATATTTTTCAGCAAGAAATTATACTTTCGTCTGTCCGATTGAGGAATATCAAAATCCAAGATTAATTCCTCAAACAATTTATAACCAGGAAAAGGTGGATTCAATAAATCATCAACTGATCGAATATTATTTTGATACCAGATACCATAATAAAAGTTACTTTTAGTTTTTGAACGAATTTGTCTATTCATATCTTTATCCATAGGGCTAAATCTATCGGATTTATTTCGTCTTTCATCTTTACGATTTCCAGTGACTCTTGGTTATTAATATAATAGCCTTTATAGTACAAGGATTATGTTATAGTTTGATCTTAATTAACGAGGTATCTTCTTTTATCTTATTTGTTTACAGATCGTGATCATTGTTGAAGTCTACTGATCGACTGACACAAATAACCAGATCTTATTTATTTAGTCCGTTCCTTCCGGGAGATTTCAAACACTTTGTAAAATTTATTCCTTGATACTCCTCTGAATTCGCTGATTATGTCTCTATTTTTCTCTTGTTTTTAGTAGGTCTAATTGGTCATTATGATGTTGAGAGTCTGATATTATATCATGGGCCTTTATTATGGGGAGGTATTGGGGAAGAGGGGGTAAATTGAGTGAGAGGGTGAGAGAGAGAGAGAAAAAAAGAGAGAGAGAGAGAGAGAGAGAGAGAGAGAGAGAGAGAGTGAGAGAGAGAGAGAGAGAGAGAGAGAGAGAGAGAGAGAGAGAGAGAGAGAGAGAGAGAGAGAGAGAGATGGGGGGGGGGGGGGGGTGGGTGCAGATTATGGATGCGTGCGGTGACGTCATGTCATAATAACCGAATCAGGAGCAGGGCCGAAACCCCGATAAATTTCTGGTAAGATTCTCGTCTAGTTTATGAATCAAATATGCGTTTTTTAAGGCAATATTCAATTTACTATATTAGTGCCCCACTATGTAGCATTGTTAGTCAGTTTATCACAAAGTAATGATCTTAAAACCAGCTTGAATTTATGTCGCTATAAATTTGTGTAGTCCCACATGTTTATCGGCGTGTGGGGCTCTTTTTGTTTTGTTTATAATTGACAAGTAAATGTAATTTCTCACTGCCGAGGCCGAAATGAAGTTGCGCTTCGCCTCTGGACTTTGATACTGATTAATCCATACTCTTTCAAGTTCAACTGTTCCAAAACCTTTTGAAAAAGAAAGTAAAATGCAAAGCTTAATCTAGATCTAGTCTATTAGAAAAATGCAGAAACTAAACTCAAGTCTGTTCAATTCAACAGATTCAATTTTTGTTCTTACTGAAACTAATATTATAAAAGGGTGCTGTGATTAAAAATAGGTTGAAACGGTGTGTAAAAGTATGGCTAGACTAGAGTGCCCATGACCGTGCATACTTACGTGTAGTCGTGTTTTGCACGATTCTGACAAAACAAAACAATCAACCATCACAAAATATCTGTCTAGTTCTACAGTGATCATTAATGCATGTTTATTTCCCCCTTGGCAATGAACACTTTTTACTACTCAATTCTAAAACCGTTTGGGACCTCTTTTTTGCAGGCTCACACAATGCAGCATGGCACGCTCGCTCAGAGGACTGTTCTTGCACTGGAAGAAGAAGAAGAAGAAGAAGAAAAAACAAATATATATATTTATTTAAAATGCTATCTTTCACTTTAAAGAAAAATCATTGAAAATTTCAAGTAAAATGTTAGATGTGCAGACATGTCTTCCCCCCCCCCCCCCATTGACTTTGAACAAAAATGTTGTGTCTGTCACCCTTGTTATCACAGGAAATAATTTTCCTCAAATTTTTTGATTAGCAATTTCAGCCGATGGATAAATATTTCAAATGAAATTCTGTACATTTCTATGGAAGAAAACTGCTACACAAAAGATATTTTGTATAGCAGTCATGCAAAAATGCATAGCAAATTGCGATGCGATACCAGGAAAATTATTCCCTGTATCACATTATAGCTGTAGATCAAGCCCCCTAATTTGTCTTTAATATTATTTTCAGAGCATTTATTCTAAATGTGTACTGATACAGAGCAATAGATTATGCACCTTTGTCTTTTCTTTTAATTTCAGAGCACTTTGTGTACCATCATTATAGAACAACGACAAGAAATCTGCCACTCAAAGATTCAAACTCTTGGAAAGACTTCTCCTGTTGAGCAAAGCTCATGCACTGAAGAAGGGATGGGTACTTGCAAACTCTGGTGAGGCAACTGAGCGAACGGAAGCTGTGGATATGCCTGAGTATCTTCATTGGTGTGCTGTTGGACATGGCATGTCTGGAAGATGTTGAATTCACTTGCTCTGAGCTTCTACTCGGACAGTATCCTTTATTATCACCCTTACTTCCAAAGGAGTGAAAACACTGATATTTCATTTCATTTCATTTCATTTCTTTATTGTGTCCATATAGGATAATTGTTTATATTTACATGAACAATCTTGCTTCAACATATCGTCGCTGTTTTCACGAAGTGACGGTAGTGAAAAAAAATTGCATTCACTTTGCGTGACGATTTTCCTCACTACCGTCACTTCGTGAAAACAAGGACGATATGAACATAGAAACAACATATAATTGACAATCATAGGGTCCTGTTTTTGTATACATTTAATACAATATACATGATCATGATGTATATACTTTTTAATACTTCTTCTTCTTGTTCTTCTTGTTGTTGTTGTTGTTGTTGTTGTTGTTGTTGTTCTTCTTCTTCTTCTTCTCCTTCTCCTTCTCCTTCTTCTTCTTCTCTCTCTCTGCCTTCTTACATACCTTCCCTTTTCTTTTATTCTTATATGCTCTAAGATATCATGTGATAAGTAATATACATTTCTTTTATAGGTGCATGGTTACCTGGGGAGCGTTTCACAAAGACTAAGATCGACTTTAGGTTGGACTTAACTATGGCAGGCCGTTCATGCCACTCTTTGCTCTCACCATTTACTGGTATTGGTATCTCAAGGGACTTACAAATCATGGTCACAAATCTACAGAATTAACAATTTTTGATAATTCATTATCAAAGGAAAAAATATTATCTAAAGATCATAATGGTGAGATCAAACAGCATCTTACCATGGTATTTGGGCTACCGCTAATTGTTGGTGGAATGGGATTTATAATTAGAGGGCCCTTTTGGAGAAGGGTATAACTATATGCTTTGTCTACCCTGGGAAATAGACAATATTATCATCATCATCATGTTACTTAATTATTCAAATTGGTTGGCTAGGTAATTTTAGGTACGTAATTTGCTTGTAATCCTAAGATTGCACTATTTGTATTACTGGGGTTCTGAGAATGTTTTTTCAGTCGTTTATATCAATGATAGGACTTACTAGAAAAGAAGGGACCACCTGTGGAGTTAGTCAAATAGAAAAAAGAGACAAAAAGAGAGGGAGGGAGAGGAGAAAAAGAAACTTCAAAAGACGATTTTACCTGCAATAGTGTTAGGTGTAACAGCAGCAGCGGTATTTTAATTCAGATCTGTAGGGTGTTTCACAAAGACTAAGATCGACTTTAAGATAGACATAACTATGGGGGGCCGTTCATGCCACTGTTTGCACTCACCATGTACTGGCATCGGTCTCTGAAGGGACGTACAAATCATGGTCACAAATCTACATAATTTACATTTTTTGATAATTCATTATTGAAGGAAAAGTATATTATCTAAAGATCATCATGATGAGAGCATACAGTGGCATGAGCGGCCTGCCATAGTTTAGTCCAACTAAAAGTTGATCTTAGTCTTTATGAAACACTCCCCTGTAATCATCTAAATTTCTTCAGATATTATTTAGTACCCAAAAATATACCTTAAAGCTAAAGACCAGTTATGGTCATGCGATTGCATTGTGAAAGAAACGTTGTGGAAACGATCAGAAAAGGTTGATCATCTAGCATATATAAGTATTGGTGTGTACTGCAAGGTTCTGTAATCATCTAAATGATAAGAAATTTGGCCCAGTCTTGGTAAAGTTACAAGCACTGTACACAGAAAGATGTATATGGGACTATACGCACACGTGCACGACACGTGCGTTTATCTCTCATAGACCAATAGATAAACTAATTTACCAAATATATCAATTAGTAGGCGGTTTCCCTGCAATTTTTTTATCATCATGTATTAGTCAAAACATATTCTTTCACATGATTGATAATAAGAGCTTCCATTTCATTTTTTGAAATTGGGGCATTTCCAATACTGGTCTTTACCTTTAAATGACCCTTGACCTCCACACACTATCAGATATCAGTGCAGTGACCCTGACATTGATCCCACTACTCAGGCAGCCATCGGCTGTACGGATGGCAGTGTTAACGGTGAGAAAAAATTCATGGTTTCAACCAACTTCTAAAATGCTCGCCAGCTTTCACTGTTTCCTATCATAATCCAAGCTAGAGATGACTCTGTATGAACACAATGACTGATACTTATTTAGTATCTGGGGCCAGTTTCTCGAAACCCGCATAAGTCTAAGTTCGTAGACATCCCATATATACGCGTGTTAATCTTATAACCCACATTTCAATGTGATGTCCAAGAAGTTAGACTAATGACGATTTCGAGAAACGGGTCCCTGGTTACTTTTTTTTAAAGACATAAAGGTGTGATATGTTTATTGAGTTTAGAAGATATGGGCACCTAATTCAACCTAAAATACTTAAAATTGCCTGCAGATTTAATATCTGTAACGTAAACTTTACATTTTAAATTCAATGAATTTGATTTCAAAAGGAAATGTTTTCCTTTCATGCATAGTGTGCCCTAGTGTTTCTGAAAAGAAAATTGGTGTCTTGCCCTTGCAGTGTGTAAGTTTGAATGCGTAATATAGTTAAAGCTACAGTCCCATATACGTCCCGGACCGTCCCGGACCATCCCGGACCCCATCCGGGGTGATCCGGGATTCGGTCCGTGTTGACAACCGTGTTGGCACCGGGGTGGTCCTGGATGGTCCTGGATGGTCCTGGATGGTCCTGGATGGTCCTGGGCGGTCCGGGAGTCGACCCGGATGTTTTTGACGGTCAAAAACTGCCGGGGTGGTCCGGGACGGTCCGGGACAATAGTTTGATCCGGGGTGATCCGTGTAGCCACCGTGCTGGGTCCGGGGTCATCCGTAGTGGCGCCGGGGCGGTCCGTGTTGATCCGTGGCAGTCCGGGAGTGAGTTATTGACCGCCCAGGACCATCCAGGACCACCCCGGTGCCAACACGGTGTCAACACGGACCGAATCCCGGATCACCCCGGATGGGGTCCGGGATGGTCCGGGACGGTCCGGGACGTATATGGGACTGTAGCTTAAAAGCATCACACTTTTTTTAACAAAACATCCCGGACCATCCCGGATCACCCCAGACCATGGTCCGGGATGGTCCGGAGTGGTCCGTGCTCGTCCGTGCTGGTCCGGCTTTATATGGGACTGGGGCTTTAGGCTTTTCATGAACATTATGAATGTATTATGAAAATTCATGCAGAATTTGTCTTTCTTGTTGATTTTCTACATATAGTTGACTGTTACCCGGCTCCTGATATAACGTGTGATGGCATCACTTACAACGGCACCACTCCAGGATACCAAAAACAAGTTCCTTGTAGAAACACGTAAGTTATGTGTGTGTGTGTGTGTGTGTGTGTGTGTGTAATTGGGTTTTAACATGTGTGTATCAATCAGATATGATTAATTACATCTGGGGACCGACCTTTAACATCACCACCTGAAAGACGTGACTCTGTTTCGAACCGGGTTGCCTGAGCCTGTTTGTAGGCAAAGACGGAGAGCTGATCAAGTGAGCGTGCCACTAGACCAACTCACATCTCCCTGGATAGACAATTGGAACACGTACCATGACAAGTTATGCCTTAATTCTCAATCTTATATCTTATAGGTTGTACATGGTTCTTGATCAAATGTTGTTTGAATCATATGACATGGTCACCATAAATTATTACAAGGACAAATCTATTGAATATATTTAGGTTTAAACCTGTCTTGAGAAGTGCATACAAATTGCATTTGAACTTTCATTTGGTTACCAAGCATGTATGTTATCATACAGGCAACCAGAGGGCCTTGACCTGTAAGTTCTGGGACCTGTTTCACAAAGCCTTTTTTCAATCACAAATGACAAAAATCAGTAAAAAATCTGCTGATAACCAATCAGAAGCAAGAATTTCAGTAAGTTATAACAAAATCTGTCATTTGTCACTAATGACAAGTTTTGTGAAATGCCGCCCCCCCCCCCCCCCCCCCCCCCCCCCCCCTGTAAGTCTTAACTTGTTAGCCTTGATTCTTTGGTATCTTTTTGATAACAAAATCATCAAATCTTGATAGTGATCACAGAAGGAATTTACTTTCTGTGCTCAGTAACACCATAATTTCATATTTCCATAATATGTTATGCATAAAACAGGATGATCATAGCTATGGTTAAATTTAATAGTAATGATAGTATATATGAGATTTGTAAGGCGCCAGATCCACTTGAAATTAAATGCTCAAGGAACACAAGTTCGAATGGATTTAATGAGAATTTCAAACCATTTATTTCATAACAAATTTTAGAGCTTCATCGTTTCAGGTTGCTGCATTTCCTGACTAAATTACAAACTTTAATTAGTCATTCCAAGGTTGTTAAAGGGGAAGTCCATCCTGATATTTAGTTGATTTTAATATAGAAGCAGAAAAATGAGGGGATCCGGTTGGTGAAAGTTTGAGAGAATTCCGATTACAAATTTAGAAATGATGAATTGTTTAAGTTTTGTGATCAGTCAACCACAAATTGGCAACTCTGTGACATATTTTGCGACCCCCCCCCCCCCCTCCTATTTGCTCTGTACAAAAAAATTCAGAAATTATTATTTTCCCTCAAGAAAATTTTTAAGCATACATGCACCCTAAATATAATTATTGCAAATATGTTTCTATACAACCCCTGTATAGGAAAAAACAACTATTCCATCATCAATACCAAAGAAAACAAAAGTTTATCACATTTTATGTACAGAGCAAATTGGAGAGGACCTCGCATGGTGCTTTACAGAGTTGCCAATTCATGTCTGATTGATCGCAACTTCTAAAATTCATAACTTTCCTATTTTTAATCAGAATTTGCTCAAATTTTCACTGGCGGGTTCCTTTCATTTTTCTGCTTCTATTAAAACCAACTAAATATCAGGGTGGACTTCCTCTTGTATTTTTGGTGATAAGTGATACTTCAAAGTCTGCAAAACTACTAAGCTTTAATTCTTTAACCTTTCCTTGAAATGTTCACGTTCGTTTATCCAGGAAGGGCTACTCCTACCGGACAACTCTCCTTCTCTCCATCTTCTTGGGTATGTTTGGCGTAGATAGAATGTATCTGGGCTATCCAGCTCTAGGGCTACTCAAGTTCTGCACCATGGGGCTACTGTTCGTCGGCCATTTTGTGGATGTCATACTGATTGCAACACAGGTACTCTATTAAAGCTTTCAGTATTTTGCTCTCATTATTGGTTTAGAGAAAACAGTAAACCACTTCCATAACACTGACAGAAAACTACACCCATTGATTGTTGATGTTTTACTCAAAGTTTAGCTTAAAAGCAGATTTGCTTTTCCTCCTAAAACAGAGACAGATACACTGTAAAGGTTGTTCCCACATAAGTTATTTAAAGCCAATACAACTGAACCCCCCCCCCCCTTAAAAAAAAAAAAAAAGTGTCAAACTCTTATGTATTAAGTTAGTGAAATTTTTTTTCCTAACTCAAAGGTTTTGTTTAAAAAAAAATGAAGCTCAGTAAGCATATCTGCAACGTATAAATCCGCATATTAATAAGTCTTCTTGTCATTATTTAATTTATCATTCTTGTTTGTTTGTTTGTTTGTTTATTTGCTTTTCAGGTAGTTGGACCTGCCGATCGCTCAGAATACGAGATGGATTTCTACGCCCCAAAGCTAATCAAGATGGGGGTTGACAATGAGACGTATTACGTCCCGCAAGACGTTCTGACGTGACATATTGCCGGCGCAGTCATGGATGTATATAGAGACTCTATTTTGTATGTTTATAATATCTAGAATGAATATAGTCACCACTAATGTTTCCGAAATATTGCTATTGATAATAGATGCATTGATATGATGCTGCTGCTGCTATACAAAGCTAGTCTACTGCATATACGTGGGTAAGTCTATAAAAGTCCTAGGTATTTTGCCTCATGACTTACCATGTTTGAAAAGAACTAAATAATTAACATTGAAATTGTCCAGAAACTTTTGGTCTAATCTGGGCCCTGTTTCGTAAAACTTGTTATCAATAACAAGTTACAATAGCTGTTACAAGCTACTGAAATCATGGCATCTGATTGGCTGAGAGCAAATTTGTCATAGAAATGTAGCATTTGTTATTGAAAACAAGTGAAACAGGACCCTGTGCTCTAGTAGGGCTATCAGCTTGATAGAAATTGCAATGTTTGTAACGTATGGAACAAAATACCACGGACTTGACTAAATACAAAGTATCATTCTATCATCATCCCAGAATTGGCTGAACTTCATGGTACGGTGCTCAAGCATCCGAGGAATATCTTTTCCTTCTGGTTGACCTTTTACTACTCCTGGGTGGAGGGTGGCAAATGTTGATTAATGTCTTGCCAACCACATTAGTGCTGTGCCGGGAAGGGTTTTCTGAAGCATGTACCATGTGATCCATAGTGCACTGACTTACACATTGGACGACAACTCTTACATTAATCAGATACAGTGTAATATAGTGAAATTAGCAGACTTTAAAAATGCATCATGTTTGATAGGAAAAATTTCAAGGAACTTGTCTAGGATTGTTTGTGATTATTCAATTCATTATTATTTATTATTTCATATGTCACAATTATTCAAAAACAGGAATCTTAGTTCTTAGATCCCATGAAAAGTAAACAAATATTTTGGATATATATCTAAGAAGTCAATAAGGAGTCCACTTTGCAGCTCAAATTTGAAAAGAGTTAGGTATACAAGTTCTAGACTTTTGAGAAAATTGCAACTCTTGCTGATATTACTTCACTGAAGAATAAAAAATGATTTAACAGCTTTTTGGAATTTTGAGTATTTTGCTCTTGTGGATTAAGACCATATTTCTGAGACCGGTCATGATCCATCAGTACTATTGAACGAAATTTTCTCATTTTTAGAAACAACCTTTAGAGCAATGTCTTATTTTATGTGACTGGTATTAAGAAAGAAAGCATAAGACTTGGTTCTGAACCGGAACGTCTAGTTTAAAACGTCCAGTTTCAAGATCTTAAAAAAAAAAAATGTAGCCACTGAGGCATCATGTTTCCTCTTCATGCACCCTCATATTTGATATAAAGTTTAGTTTGGGCATGTTATGGATAGTACAGCATATGTGAAGTTTGTATGATTATGAGCGAGGCTGTCTGGAACAGTCTTAAAAGTTTCATTAAAATGTAAATTGTTATGTGAAAAGGTGATTTTATTCTTCCATTTTCATTTTGTATGCCTTTTGTGCTTTGTTTTGACGTAGTGTTTGTAAAATATTAAAAGTTCATTGAAAGAGGAGGAATTTAATGTAAATGAATACCAGTAGGCAAAAAAATTGGTTATAACCCAGTAACACTAACAACACTGATACAAGATTGACAACGGACTGAACACACAATTGTACCGCGGTAAATACCCAAGAAATCGGTTGAAGTCAATGTGGAGTCGGTTTGTCGGTGTGACTGAGGTGTTAAAGGGAAACGGAGGAGAGAGAGGAGAGATGAGTGTGTGGAAGAGGAAAAGAGAGAGAGAGAGAGAGAGACGGACATAATGCATTAGGGGGAGAGGGAGAGTGGGTGAAAGAGAAAGAGAGGGAGAGTGGGTAAAAGAGAGGAAGAGAGAGAAATGCAGACAGAGTGAGGGAGATGGAGACAGACAGCATTATAGAGAGAGAGAAAAAAAGAAAGAGGAAGTGGTCGTAGCTTATACTACACCATATATACAAACAAAATGATTTATCTAATTTCTTTTAACATAAGAGCATATAGTACTTACATGTATACCATTCCCTTTAAGGGGTGTATTTATTGCAGAAGATATGAGGACATGTGTTGGTGTACATCTTAAGTCACTGTTGCCTCTGTCTGTAACAAGAATGAGTGTTTCAGATACTACTCGATATTTATTTAAAAGCCAGTTTATAGAGACAGTCTGCACATGAGCAGATAAAGGCCATTAGTTTGCCAGAATGTGAAACTCACCAAAACGATACATGTACTAGAAGCTTCCTCGTTAATACATCAGCATTGCATTCTATGAGTAACGGTGGAAGTATTCTTTTCAAATAAAAGGGGAAACAAAAGCAATAATTATGAAGCACCTGCATCACGCTGGGAGTAATTATTTTGAATGAGGCCTCTCTAAGGTTTTAAGATCTGTGGATATCTGGGGTAATTTTTACCACGCGATAAGTCTGAACTGGTCCGATGACCATTCACTACTTGTAGTTCATATTATGCATGTATTAGGAGGGTCCGGTTTAACCTCTTGCCTTCTCTCTCTCTCTCTGTCTCTGTCTTTCACTCTCTTTGTCTGTCCATCTCTCTTTCTGTCTCTTTCTCTGTCTTTCTCTCTCTCTCTGTCTCTCTCTGTCTCTGTCTTTCACTCTCTTTGTCTGTCCATCTCTCTTTCTGTCTCTTTCTCTGTCTTTCTCTGTCTCTCTCTCTCTCTCTCTGTCTCTCTCTGTCTCTCTCTCTTTCTGTCTCTCTCTCTCTCTCTCTCTCTCTCTTTCTGTCTCTCTCTAGCACCGGTACCTGAAAATTGTAAGAATATTACCAACTGGAATCTGAGAGCGTTTACGCCTTCTGGTCAAAATAAAAGCTGAATCCTCGCAGACAATCTCACTATTGGTCTGACATCACTGCGATTCGGAGCCAATTTAGCTTTTCCTCCACCAAGACAGTTTTGAAATCCCTTGAATTTGAGATTTTATCAATCATATGACCAATCAGATCATCGGTCATTAAGATAATGTAGTGTGGGTGGACTTAAGACTGAAAAATTGTCAATCAATTAGGCATTGTGGCGTGCGCCTGTAATCCAGCTAACAGTGGAAGTTACAAACTGATTCAGCCGAGGACGCAGGTTCGAAACTGAGTCACGTCTTTCGGATGGTGACGTTAAAGGTCGGTCCCCAGACGTAAATAATCATATCTGATTGATACACGTCTGTAAAAACCCAATTACACACACACACAAGTGAGTTATCAGTGAATTACTGTATACATATTCATATTATGTAATCAATTACCATAGCAAATTAGAAATCAATGATTCCTGTACAATTTTTAAGTCAGCTTTCATATACAATCTTTAATTTTCATATTTTTTTCTTTAATACAAATTCACTTCCCTGAATCATTTCAGCGATTCATACTCACTCACACAGGGTATCATGCAAACAAACATTTTCTTCATGAAGTCACATATTATCACACCAACTCAATTCAGTACAAATACTTTTGACCTTTGACATATCTACACATTTCTTAGACCTTTGACCTTTGACCTACCTACAAGAGCACTCTATGACCATTACGGGCAGTCCATATCTAAATTTACAATTTCATTTTGAATCAACAATTTCTTTTCATCAGGAGTCACAAAATATCAGTCCAATTCCTTGTTCAGTTGATATGATTTTGACCTTTGACACACCTTCAGAAAGTTCAGATCACTTTGACCTTTGACCTACCTATAATAGTGCTCTATGACCGATAAAGGTGGTTTACATCCAAATCAACAATTTCGTTTTCCATTTAACAATTAAAGAGCATTTCATCTACATGCACCTCACGTTCTAGAGCTTGACCTAGCAGACCACAACATATACTTTTCACTTTTATTTTTTTTCTAAAAAAATTAAAAGTACTATTACTATGAAATTAAATAAGTGAATATTCAAAACAAGTCATCTTATCTAAAATGTTTTTTTTCACCTTCCTTTACACAACTATATACTTTTGAAATACAGTAGTGTCTTTTAAGTGTTACACTGTACTCAACTTGTCCATTACTCCTCTATATGTTCATACGACTTAAAATACCATGGTTCTTCTTACAAAATATATACCGAGAAAGATAATTAGATATAATTAAACTCTTAAAGTAGTCACTCTACTAAAATTCACGACAACTGATAATTGCGGACAAATTATATATGGATGGAAAGATTTTGCTCTTGAAAAACACAAGTTTGCTGAAAAATCATATAGATATCACGGAAAGGCGTATAACGCTTTTTCTATATCTTATAACCCAAAGCTACGTGAAGACGAGTATGACCGTTGTTGCGCACAGTTGCCTTTCATTTACACTTTAAAAAACATCGGCGGTTTACCGCACAATACCTTAACGACTCATAACGAGCCCTTTCTTTATATTTTGTGTGTAAACTGGACCCAAACTACTCTCAATAATGTTCACAGAGTAGCCTGTTAGTCTTAAATTGATGATGTTCATTCAGCGCTAAAAATAATGTTAAGAAAATGTATTTAAATTAAACCTTTTGGGTGAAATCTTGTGCAAAATGATCACTGCTCAACAGAGAAAACTAATGTTTATTTTGATACATTAACAATAATTCTATTCTTAGTGCATTAGGAATAACAATACATTCATAGATATCTTCAGTACTAGAGAGGAAATTTTGATGGAATTCTAATGTATATCATTGTCAGCACCCACACAATTGTGATTCCCTTCACTTTTTTGGACTTAAATTCTATTTTAAACGACACCTATGAATAATAAATTGATCCTATCAGATGTGAATCTTGTTGCCCGACATAATAGAATACAATATAACTTATTGAGATACGTTACAAGTGCTATAAACAATACTTGGCAAGATACCATTATCGATATCGCTCTGCATGTTATTATAAACATTTCTTTTCTAGTTTAAGCGGTTTCCTGCCTAGATAAGAATTATACATTTTCTCTTCATATCATCTGATAATTTGATTCTTTTTCTTCTTCCAGGCCATATGGGTCATGACAAACTATTTAAATTTTGTAGAGTAACTATAGATGCGTGTAGCTGCAATTATGTCATCACAACTGTTGGATATACTTCAGCCTTAGCTATGTCAGATCAACCTTGGACAAAAATTTGTGAGGTATTGAAATGAAGGATGACCTAATGGCCTTGAGGAAAGAGGAAAGTGGAAGGTCAAAGGTCAGGATTTTTTTTTTTCCCTTTCTCTTGCAGAGGCGTTTTTCTTCTCGGCATGTAGAGTAAAAATTCAGCTTTGGTCAAGGCTATCGACAGCTCTGTGCATTTTTTAGGAGCTACATATTATGCAAGGCAACAGTAGTTGATTATGTTCCAGTCAAGACCATTTATCCCTAATCCAACCCCTTCCATCCACAAATCTAACTGATTTGATATAAATGTAGTACCTCACCTGGTCTATAAAAACAAAATTTAAAAAAAATTCTTTGGGAACAAATTGTGCTTTTTTCTCTAAAAGGTATTTTACTCTGAAGCCCAGATTCTTTAATAACCTGACTAATTGAACAAGCAGAGGACTGCCAGTTGATGTCACACAGTGTATATGTACCAAATTCTGTATAAGCATTTATTCATTTTCATGGGGGAGTGGGGGGGGGGGGGGGTAATTTTCAGGAACTTATTGAAACACTCATTGATCAAAAATTTAACATGCAAATTTTGTCCAGCAAGTATGAATGTCACATGTCGAAATCACTTCTGTAAGCCTGTTGCATGCCGCCGGGTCATGCCGTGCAGTTTGAGACCACACTGAACATAATGGGGCACTTTTTTCATTTATTTCTACCGAAATAATTCTTATATTACGATTATGATACTCGGTAGTGAGTTCATAATCAACACAAATATGATGATAAAATTGATAATCATTGAAAAGTATTCAATCGGCTGTGGTTGTGGCCTCATATTAATGTAACAACGCGCGAATTCGTCCTTGAACTCTCCTTGATCAGTGAAAATACCTTTACACAAAAAATATTGGCCAGGGGGGTGTTTCACAAAGATCTTAAGTAGAATTTAACACTAAGTTGGACTTAAAAATTATGGACAGCCATTGGAGTCTTAAAATTAAATATATTCATAAGCATAAATTCAAATATTTTAGACTTTTTTATAAATTCCACATCAAGAACATGAAATCTCCTGGATGATAAAAAATATGAATGATTTGAATCAACATTTTACGCCTTTCAAAATAAATTTTACAAAATATTTTCAAAGTCGCTAACGGCTTTCCATAATTTTTAAGTCGAACTTAGAGATAAGTTCAACTTAGACTCTTTGTGAAACACCCCCCAGATGATGTAGCAGTCCGGGGTTACGATCCATAGGGAATGAGGAGCTAAACTAAGAAACTCCTGCAAGCAGTTTCTAAGACAGGACACAGTATGCAAATATTGCTTGCCCCAGTAAGAGATTTCTTGAAAAGATAAATACCAAACAACTAATTGCAGGGGATCCCTATTCTAATTTTATAAAAGTTAATGATTAAACTTAAAGACCCTATCACATGAAAATGCAACTTAATATTAATGGAAAGCTGAATAAACGTAGAATACAAATATAAAGGAATAACAAATATTTTCCATTTCAGTATTGCACAAAAGCAAATTAAATACTTGTTTTCCGCACCCTTCAAGGTTACAAGTCAATAGGGGACAAATTTGCCGCAATTACCATGACGACATAACATGTGGGACCAATCGGCTCGCCCATATAGCTGAGGCGATGAGCAATACTTAATTAATGGTAAAGTCATTGAGAATATGCCTACCCCACATAATTTGATGTCATCAAGTCGATAGCTAGTCTTTAGGTCGACAACTTCCGACTTTCAAAGATTTAGATTTCGGGTTTTCAGAGAGCTGCTACTCCTCTGACAGGCACTAAAATATAATTGATATTGTTGTAATCTATGGCATAAAAGCTTTCCGTTGATATACAATTCATCGATTTCAACAGGGTCTTTAACTATGAAATCATCTCCTTGTCATTCTGTCCTTTTTTCACCTTCACTACCAGTATCAGTACAAATGCTATGGTCTGCAATACAAAAGGAAAATTGTAATGCAACTAGACCAGTTTGATGTGTAACAACTAACATTCTAGCTTTATAACGAAAATACACACAAATTCTCTACCTAAAATCAATTTGAAATACAAGAGCAAAGTACTACATTTTGTCATACAAAAAAACCATTTCGTAATATGAATAACTAAATTTCATCTGGCATTTTTCCACACTAATATGTATAATCGGGGTGCCGCTAGGAGTGTCACAACGTGAAGGACTTGTGTGCTATATAAGAAGCCACCATTAAAATTGTTATTATTATAATTGATAAATTATAAGGTATTGACAAATTAAAAGATTTACAAGCGAAAAAGCTTTAAAATGTATGTATGGAAACCCTAACCCTAACCCTATACATCAGTCTGTTCCCCTGAAAAAAGTATTACATGATCAAATACCAATTTTTACTTTATCTGGCAGGGTAGGAAGCAAATGCAATGATGTCTAGTTGGTCAAAGTGGATAACTTGTGAGTTTCTGTGTCACACCTGTATGATGAAGGTCATATGCAAAGAATTGGTCGACTATTGAATGGCCGTAAAGAGGACAAGTTATGGGTTCAAATATTCATAGACACACCGCCCCCCCCCCAACCCCTCTTGTCCTAAATGACTTCTTGGTCTAGGTGAGAAGCTGAGTGAGACATTGCAAGGCATGTATTAATTAATCTGAACAAAGGCCTATTCTTATCACAATACAAAGAAGATGACCTCTAACCTAAACAGAAATCATTTGCAAGTTTATTAACCTATCATTAACTATCTAAATATCTCTTTTCTTTCAAGATTCAACCTACTATCCTCTTTGGTGAGAGTCTACCTACATGTATTATAATTTTTCTCTATACTTCCTCATTCTTTGTCACCATGGTTGCCGTGCATCGAATGGGAGTTGTGATCAAAGCATGGATCCAGATCCTTTATCTGAATGCCCTGCTGGCGGGGCTGGGTCAAAGGTCATACTCTCATCCATGTTTAACAAATCCTGCAAGGTTATATTATGATTCTCAACATGACCACTTGGAGTGGGTGTAGTCCCCATCCTGCTATGTGTAGCGCCCTCGTTTGGCCTGTCCACATCTTCCACAGTACTGTCCGATATGCTTTCACCAATCGCTTTCTCCTTGTCATCCTGAGGCTTCTTGTCGTGGCTACCACCATGGTCCCTACCGTGTTTGTCTTTCTTTTTACTTTTAGAATCCTTGTCTCGACTTTTCTTGTGCTTATGTCTGGAGCTTTTCTTCTTGTGATGCTTATGTTTGTGCTTGTGCCTTTTGCTTGTGTGCGGGTCTCCTTCCTTGTTTGGAGGATCATTAGCATCCTCTAGCATACGCTTGAGCACAGGCGATCTTGATGCTTTGGATGCGCTCACATGACTTGAGCTAGAAATGTCTTTCTTTGAACTATGTAGAGCATGACGATCTTGATGTGATTGTCTGCTAAAGGTGCTAGAAGTACTGCCGTTACGACTGCCATTCCGTGAACTTAACTTGCTTTCATCACTGAAGAAGTCCACAGAGGGCCCCCTACTCCTACTCCTGCTTCTCATGTTATCTTCCTCTCTGTAGTATCTCGATGGGTTCCTTGACCTCTCTCTCGATCTACTTCTGCTTCTGCTTCGTTGCCAGTTTCGTTCATCCCTCAAAGGTCTAGGGAGGTCTCTTGAACAGTCCCGTGATCTGCTGTCTTCTCCATATCTTCTGGAGTACGTTGATCGAGACCTTGACCGAGACCTTGACCGTCGGTTCCTAGAGCTAGAATAGTTATCATGTCTGGTCTCATAGTAGAGACTCCATTTGCTTCCCCCTTCTCTTACTTTACGGAATAGTTCATTTGGACTGTGGGAAGGCTTGTGATTAGAGGAAGATCTGTGCAGAGAATCATAGCGCGATGTGCAAGGACCGTCTATGTCATCAGCAGCATCTCTGCCTCTCCTGTTGTATCCATCACGTCTGGATCTGCTGTAGTAATTGTCATCTGAATCTGTAGACCAGTTACCAGCTCTGTTTGAAGAATGCAAACTTCTGGTATGTTTTGTCTTCTGTTTCCTCTTTCCACCAGCTTTTTCTTCTACGTGGTTTCTTTTAGGTGCAGTCTTGTCTTTATTCCTACTAAGCCTTCCTTTTGTCTCTTTCTCCCGTTTCCCATCCGATAAATCATCAGATATGGTTATGAAAGCAATGGGAGTGCGCAGATGGAATGGCTTTTGATATCCAACAATCTCTACACTGCCACTGCTTTCTGCACTATCTTCCAACTTTCTCCTGCCATGGGCACTGTCATGCTCTTGCTTGATCTGCAGGCTTCCTGAAAGAGTGACACCAGAGGGGCCTGGTTGATCGGGGTCTTGACTTGCAGGTGGCTCAGGGTTATGGGTAGAGGCTAGATCATAACTTGTGGATGGACCCACTCCGCTTGTAGCAGAAGATGGCCCGGGTAGGTCATGACTGAGAGAGGCAGACTGGGAACTTTCTGCTGGTATCACAAAAGGATTGCTGTCACTTTCATTATCATCGGAAATGACGATGACTTCAATATTGTTGGAATGGTTGTTCTCACTCTCCTCACTACTGCTATTCTCTTGTGCTACAAGCGGATGCTGAGGCCGGAGAGTGGCAGTGAACTGAGGGTTCTCGGGACGGAAGTCATACTGGGCCATCTGGTCGTAGGTGTCCATGTCATGAGGTGACCTAGCAAAGCTGGTGAACTCGTGGATGAAGTGTTCAGTGCGTCCATAGAGGAACGGCCTCAAGTGGTTGTGGAATTCCTCTGATTGAATGTCAACATTTGGAAGCAGTGAAAGAATGTACTGGGTCATGAATCGCACATGTTGGTCGTTCCCATTGAACAGCACCCCAAGGTCTCTCCTTAGCCAAGGGATAAGACGGTGTGTTACAGCAGGGTTCTCACGGAAAAACTGGGGAGAAGTATCCCTGAACCTAGTGAATCGGTTGGTTGCGATATGATGGACCCTCAAGCTGGCTGCATAGATCAGTTGACGGCGCTGACGGGACTCGTTTTCGCGGTGGATCCGCTCTGCCAGCCTGGCCTGGCGATTGAAAAGCTGATCCATGCGGGTCTCCCAGGCAGATCTTCGGTTGGTGGTTAGGGTAGTGTGGTAGCGAAAGCGAGCACCGTTACGATCTAACTCCAAAGACCCATTCTCCGTAGGCTGTAGCACGTACTGATCATATACATCACTAGACACTACATTGTGAATGATGGATTTGAAAGGAGTTTTGCATAGAGGGCATGTTGACTTCACCTTGGCCCATTCTCGTATACACTGGAAACAGAATCGATGAAAGCAGCCATCGGAGAAGGACTTGTCTTTGAACTTGCCCAGGCAGATCGGGCAGCATTGGTCAGGGGAACCTGATCTGGATGATGCATCGCTGTCAGTGGGTGCAAGGTCCGTCTCCTTCTTAGTCTTGACGCTTTTGGATGAGGCCTCGCTCAAAGCCTTCTGCAAACCTCTCTGCACACTGGCTTCATCCATTGCAGAAGACCTTCAGGACATCATCAGATACTTCAATCTGTAGAAGAAAAATGAGAAAACAATTGTATTAATGAAAACAAATTATCAAAACTAAACTAAAAATTGAGGACAACTAAAATGTGTTAATACTAGGTTGATAAATAGATATGCATGCACATGTACATATTCTAAAACCACACTCTTATTTCTAAGACACTCGTTTCATGATCACATCTCTACTCTCTACCCAAGTTATGGTGAAATATGACTACCGGTACACAGGGGGTTTTATGAGTATTTTCATTGATAACCATTTAATACTTCCAACAAATTATTTTAAAAAAAACACATGAACTTATACAAATATTTAAAAAGTTTTTAGAAAATTTAATTTGAAAAATAAAGATGAGGATGCATGTTAAAGGGGGAGTCCACTATGATATTTAGTTGGTTTTAATTGGAGCAAAATCTGATTAAAAATAAGAAAGTACTCATGAGTTTTGATCCATCAAACAAAAAATTGGAAACTATGTGATGTATTTTGCAAGGTTTCCTCCATTTGTTCTGTGCTACAGTAATTCAGAAATGTCTACTTTCCCTTTAAAAAATTGCTCAATCATACACGCGCCCTAATTACAATTATTGCAAATATTGTTTAAATACAATCCCTGTATGAAATAAATCTTTTCCGTCATCAATAACTAAGAAAATGAAAGTTTATGAAATTTCTGTACAGAGCAAATAATAATAATAATAATATGACAAATTTATATAGCGCTTGTGACAAAAGTTTCAAAGCGCTGTACATGTACACAAATCAAAATTACTTCAAACAAAATCGATATTACTAATGGAATTAACATTACTCAAATTACCAAGAAAACAAAATATTACCTACATAACTTAAATAATTATCATTACTTATATTAACAAGAAAATCAAATATTTCTATCATAACTTAACAAATTGACATTACTCAAATTACCAAGAAGATCAAACATTACTAACATTACTAAAGAAATTAACAAAACATGTAAATTCCTTGGAAATTAACACATTATATCAGTAATAGTAATAATTTGAAAAGACATAATGAAGGCATGGTAATATTTATTCGAACTTATTTTAGAGTTATTTGGGTTGCTTTTGGAATAGATGAGTTTTTAGATTCTTTTTGAAAATGTCAATGGTGGGTGAGTCCTGGATATGGGCGGGGAGAATGTTCCAAAGAGTGGGGGCACAGACTGAGAAGGCCCTGTCACCATAGCGGTTGTGGGTGCGAGGACCGCAAATTGGAGCGGATTGGAGCAAATTGGAGCAAATTGGAGCAAATTGGAGCGGATACTTCATACAACTTCTGAATTCAACTTCTTAGTTATGCCCTCATTATGTTCTCCATTGTGAATGTTTAAATGTTAATTAATTATTGCATAATGATTATGTCAAGTATTAGTATTGTGATCTCTCAAAGCTGTTTCAATTTTTTTTTTAAATTTGAATTCCAAGTCCTTTCACTAGCAATGATCATATTATATATAATTATTTATGGTAATTGTATATAATTATGTATTTACTTATTATTATATACTTATATACTTATATCTTTTACTTATTAATGATTTAATCTATCCATGTGTTTGTTTACCTTGTTATTTTTTTTGTTTGTTATGCATTTTATATTGTAAACTGACTTGTTTAGTCTTCATACTTTTTAATCAGTACTTGAATAAAACCAAATATCTATCTATCTATCTTGCAAGATACATCACAGTGTTGAAAATTTGTTTTTCCCTGATGACAACTTTAAAAATTAACAACTTTCCTACTTTTAATCGGATATTTCTAAAACTTTCATTAATTTGTTCCTCTCGTTTTTACTGTTTTTATAAATCTGAATTTATCAGGGTGCACTTCCTCTTTAATGCTGAAGAACATGTACTGTATAATACTATAAATGTGCATACATGTCAATGATACTTGGGCAAAGGCAAACATGTAAGGAGACAAATCTGTTGTATGATAAGATAAAAATTCAAGTTAAGTCATGATGGTGTAACATTAGTTCCATGACCAAGTTACAGGGGTTTTCTTTTCACTTTAGGAGTTAGTTTTACCTCTTCAGGCAAACTTTGAAACCAGGGGTTTGTTGATTTTTGTTTATCCTTGTCAGTGCATGTTGAATCATTTCCTTTGAATACGAAAAGTCATTCATGTATAAATGATGGCTTTAATGAGGCGACTTCAGACAATAGGCAAATAGTCAATAAAAAGTTACTTCAGAGTTCGAAGAAGAAGATTGTCGAATACCAAGGGACAAAAGGAAAAGGAAAAAAAAAAAAAAAAAAACAAACAAACATAAGTCTAAAAATGACACATGATCATGATGGCAGAACAGTATACAAATAGTGAATGGTCATGAGTGCAATGGTACAAGATTTTGCACGAGGTGAAAGATAAGAGACGCTATATTCAACGAGGCGCAGCCGAGTTGAATGGAGCGTCTCATCTTTCACCGAATGCAAAATATTGTTCCATTGCACGAATAAAGACCATTCACTATTTGTTTTATACAACACCTCGGACGTTAATGGGCTTAAAACAGTTTTCCTAGGCCTAAATCTCAGCGATTTTTTGTTTGTTTTCAATTGATGAAATTGCTGATAGTGAGCGTGCACTATTAAGCAGGCAGCAAACCACGCGCGTACCAACCTTTATGTTTAATGTGACGCGGAGTGCAATTTCGTTTGATCCTTCCGCACCATTGCACTCCGACGTCACTTAGCTCACCATATACTTAGTACATCGTTAGTGACGTCAGAGTGCAATGGTGCGAAAGGATCAAACGGAATTGCACGGCTGGAGAATGATGCCGTTCAATGGTACTTTTAGCGCATGTCATGTGATCAAGAATTGACCAATGAGGTTGCAAGAATCTTAGTAGGCGTTGTATAAATACTACTGAATAAAGTACTTTCTTCTGTTTGGAGCTAGAAGAGCAATATCTCAGACTTTTAAAAACAGAGCTAATGCCCTTCTGGCTCCAATATGAGTAGAGGTCATTATCTAACAGTTTATCTGAAACTATGGCATGTAGGAAGTTAGACCATTTCTATTTATACAGTATTTTAAAAAGAACAATCAGTTTAATCTTGAATGAACCCAGGCCAGCCTTGTTACTTTTGTCCAAAAAAAAATGCAGAATCGAGATCTACTCAGAGTTCTGTTATTTTCTTGATTTGTTTGATTGTTTGTTGGTTTCTTCTTCTTTTTTTTGTCGCTTAATGGCAGCTTTACTATACTCAAGTTTGCGTGTACTTAAAACATTTAAGACACCCTTAATTGATTCTCAAAAACCTCAAACATGACTGTACAAATTACAAAACTCACCAAAATTCACTAAAAATCTGCAATTTAGTGACAGTAAGTAGCAGTAAAATATAATCAATTTAGATTTGAAATAAGCTTGAAAGAATAATAATCCATTCGTTTTGTTTGATTTTATCAATTAAAATTTCAAAATAATATATATACCTGTATTTTAAAAATTTGCATTCCAACAATGCAATTCTGTTATTAAAAGACCAGTTATGGTCATGCGATTGCATTGTGAAAGAAACGTTGTGGAATCGATCAGAAAAGGTTGATCATCTAGCATCTAGCATGTGCAAGGTTCTGGAATCATCAAAATGATAAGAAATTTGGCCCATTCTTCGTAAAGTTACAAGCACTATACACAGAAAGATGTATATGGGACTATCCTATATCTCTCACAGACCATGAGAGAAACAAATTTACCAAATATATGAATTAGTAGGCGGTTTCCCGGCAAATTGTTATCATCATGTATTAGTCAAAACATATTCTTTCACATGATTGGTAATGAGAGCTTCCATTTCATTTTTTGAAATTCGGGCATTTCCAATACTGGTCTTTACCTTTAATCACATCTAGTTTGATGCCGAATTTTTCCTCTTTTTTTTAACAGCTATTTTTTTTTTTTTTTTTGTAAATTCAATTTTCAATAATAATTATATATCTTAATATGGATCTTAAAGCAAATACATGTACATGTGTATTAACCATGTTTTGCCTAATGTAATTATGTAAAGCTTTTTATATTTAAATATCTATAATGAATATATCAATGACATTGCGGTTTGTGCTTTAGGATTCATTGTTTAATTTTGTAGTCGGTTTAAGTTGGTCTAAAAAATTATGCTGCATTTACGGTATTATATTTGTATTATAGTTTATTACACTTTATCCGATTATATATCTAGTTCTCCATTTCAGCCTATTTATCTGTCCCTTTTATTGTGTAGTCTCCTCGCCAGCTTCTCTTTCTCATTTCTCTATGCCCTCTCTCTCTCCCCCCTCTCTGTTATTATCTTACCAGTCCTTCTAATCTTCTGTTACATTTGTCTTATTGCCTTCTCCTACGCGATCGTTCTCCTTCAATTATCCTTTAGTCATCCATTTCAATCTCTTCTCTTGTTTCTCTTCTTTTCTTTGATCATATCCTTGATTATTTATTGTGAATCGCCATTTATATGTATATGTTATGCTTTTGAATGTATCTTTTGCAAATTCAATTTGTGTCAGCCTCTGGCTGCTATTTGAATGTTTTTTAATCAATAAACCATATCATATCAAATCAATTCAACTCATTGATGTTGTAAAAATACTAGAAAAGGTTTACACCCATATCAAGACACAAGAAGACAGGAAAGCACTGCAACGCAACCTAGACAGCTTATGCGATTGGGCAAAGAAATGGCAGCTAAAGTTCAACGAAAGAGACAGAAAATTTTGGTCTATTGTCAACAGTGCGAGTACTCAAGTATTCAAGTACTCGTCGCAGGCTTGCAGCCTTATAAAATATAATTTTTCCCGATCATTTTGTACTTGCAATAGATATACCTTTTCCTTATGCATTGCAAGCCTCTAAAAAAATGCTCTAGTGCATGGTCAATATAATATGCATTTCGACCAGCACTACTTTTGACTTGTGTAATTGTATCACGTCACGCCATCGAATGAAGACCTAGACCAAAAGTTCTTGGCTCTTGCATTGGTATACATTCTGTAGTAATAAAATAGTCTATACTCCTCTGGTCAACTAGAAAATCTTTTGTAATTTTCTGTCTTTAATAAAAAAAAATATTTTTAATTTTAGAAAAATTATAGATTTCTAAACAAATAGATCTAGATCTATATTATTATTAAAAAGTTAATTATAATTAACATATTTCTCAATCTATTCTTACTTGTCTAGTCTAGTCTAGCATTTGAAAACATTGACAGATACTACATTTCCATAATATTTCCTTACTGATCCAAAAAATATATCTCAAATCAAACTGTTTTCTCTTTAGGCCTTTTTTTTTTAGCTAACTGGTGAAGTCGGCCACATACAAAAACACGGAGGCACAAACAAAGCAGTCTCAAAAAGGAGTAACACAAATTATAGTACACGGGACTGATGTAAATGAATACAGACACATTCACCCAAACACATTCGCATCCCACAGACTTCTGGAAATATTCAGAAAATGAAGACAGAAACGTTTATTTTGAATTACTCACCTTGTAGATCGATGTATACTTTCAATAACTAAATCTCGATAGATGTCTATAAATATCTGTAATAGGACAACAAACGAAGAAATTATAAGGTGTTCTGATATTGTGTCTAGCCGAACTGACTGACGGAATACATAATTTCGTGACGTCACACTACGTCAGCTACGGGGGTGGGGTCAAAGTGAATGCAGTCAACCTGTTACTAATGTCGTGTTGCTATTAAAAAATGTCCACAATCTTATGCTTTTTACTTCTAAGTTTCAGTATTTCAAGCATTAATACAAAGAAAATCTATATAACGTCGGTAATATAGGTCTCTCTAAATAGATGCATGATTGTGGACTTTTCAGTAGCCCCTCCCCCCTCCCCCACAAGTCTTAGTCTATATTTTTTTTTCATGACTTGCAAGTTTCACCTGGCATCTTATAATAAACTGCATTTTCATGGAATTTTGTATCAAGCATACTCATTGTACTTGAAGGGGAGAGAACAAATTCCAAATTTCTTTTAAGAATATTGAAATCGTTTATTTTGTTTCTGCTCCAAAACACTAGAACAAGGCTCTCTCCTATTCTGAAATCATTACCAATTGTGTCAAACAGTAAACAATAAAACAGAGTAAATCAACTCTTTTGAAACCATATATGAATATAAAATAACTGCTTGGTTATACTCTCTGGCGTACTGATGGGGGGGGGGGGGCTTGTGGCAGTTGCCCCCCCCCCCCTCAATAAAATTCAAACGTGGTTTGTTTCTAATTCGATACAAGTAATTTACAAGTGATTTTCTAGGGTTTTTCTCATTTTTGTATGCGTTTTTTGGAAAATGACATCTTCCCAAATTTATAGTTAGGCAAAAAAAACTTTAAATTGCCCCTTTTGACATAGGAAAAGAGCCCCCTTTTACATCAGATGAGTGCCCCTTTTTATTTCAAATAGGTGCCCGTTCAACATTCTTATACGCGCCTCTAATTACCACCTCTGATAATACCTTTGCCCCTAATTCTCCTTTGTAATAAGTCGTGACCCTTCTCCGTTCTCATATTAAGTGCCTGTTTTCATCTCTGGTGAGGGTCCCTTATCAGGTGCGATAAATGCCCCATTTTTACCTCTGATAATTCCTCTTTTTACTTTGACACGTGCTCCTTTTCTTTTCTAATAAGCGTCATTTTCCCTTTGTATAAGTGCCCCTTTTCCCTTTCACCATTGTGCTCATAATTTAAAGCAACTAAGAACAACTTCTTGCACCTAACAAAGGGCACTCACCAGAGAAAAAAAGCAGTTATGAGAACGGAAAAGGGGCAATTGTCAGAAGAAAAATGGCACTAATTAGAAAAAATAAGTTGCACGTGTCAAAATCAAGGGGCACTTATCAGAAATGAAAAGGAGAACCTATCACAAAGTTAAATGGGGCGCCTCCCAACTTTGAATAAGGGCACTCATCGGAGATAAAAAGGGGCACCTATAAGAATGAAATTAGTACAAAGGAAAAGAGGTGCTTGTCAATTGCAATGGACACCTCTCAGATTTGAAAAGAGGAAATTATAAGAGATGAAGGGGCACTTATCAGAGATAGTCATGATAAGGGGCACTTCTTGTACCAAAAAAGAAGCACTCACCTGAGATAAACTCTGAGGCACCTATAACACAGGAAAATAGGCACTCATCGAAGGAAGAGAGGCACATGTGACATTTTATTAGAGGCATCTATCAGAGGTGTCAGAAGGGGCATTTATGAGAAGGGGAAGTGGCTCTTATTAAAAAGGAGAAGGGGGCATTTATCAGAAGGAAAAGGGCACTTATACTTATAAGAAAGGGGAAATGGGGGCACGCGTACGTATCATAATAAAAGGAGGCACTTAACAGACTGTGTAAGACTGAAGCGGCACTCATCAAAGATGAAAAGGGGAACTTATCTGAAGTAAAAAGGGGCACTTTCCCTATGTAAAATGGGGCACTTAAGGAGTATTTGGAAAAAGTAGGGGCACTGTGACCCTGCCCTCCAGGCTCCGCCGCCTCTGGTCGAAATACACATTATATGGAATATCATTCTGATGCATATAATTTGTTTTCCAAACTTTTAAAGTGGAGACGAGAAGAACCCAAGAGTAATATAGAATGATGGCCGAGAAGAGAATAAAAATAAAGATAACAAGCAGTTCAAGAATATAGGAGTAGAAATTAAAATATGATCGGTATTCATAGGCTAGTATTATGACAAAAGTATGACATTCCGAACTTTGTAGTAGATAAACATAGTGAAAATAGAAAAAAATCCGAGAATTTTAAAAGAAATCCGGCATATAAAAAATTAAACATGATGATGATTATAGGCCTGTTAATTTATATATGAGAATCTAAAATTGCAAATTGTGCAATTACTGTATGGTATCAACTCTCCAAATGGTTTAAAGATTTGTCTTCTTCACCCCCAGCACCATGGCTGATGGGGGCACTTTATATAAATACAAGAAGCTCTACCAGGGCGTTGTGGAGGTGGGGGATCTTTCCCCTCCGCTTCAAATACGCTAGTGGTTTTTCTAATTGTTGTAATTTTCCTCTAATTATATAACTTTGTTTTGAAAATAGGGCCTATAGGGGATCTATATAAATCTAAGTATTTTCCTAATGCTACAGGCATATGGGGTTCATAGTCAGGAGGGACCCCCCCCCCCACCTCCCCCCCCCCCCCCCCCCCCTCCATATTCATGAGGAAACTTGGAACTTAAAAAAAAATAGGAAAGAAAAGATTATTGGCGTTTTGCTTAGTATAAGTTTTAATGACTTCTAGTAAGTATGGGTTTTACTTTTAATTTGGCAGCGAGCCGGATGAGAGTTATTCTATTCGCGTTGAGTGTCGATGTCGCCACCATCATAAGCTAGCGCTAGCTAGCTAGCTCAATGCATTAATTTCATATCAAAGGCCGTGGAGTCTGGGTACGAAAGCTGTGGACGAAATATGCTGGTAGAACGCTTGGATTGACCTATCCTAGACATGATTTTGCTGAGCAGAAGAGCCGTTGATATATTTATATCATTAGTACGTATATTGGTGTCCATGTTGAAGTAATTTTAAGAACAAATTTATGTGGAGATATGACAATATGTTTGCGCTCGCGTTCCGGCCAATTCGCCAAGCGCCAGTTGTTGTGATCACGCCCGATCGACACGTTACATGACCGCTCAGCTCTGCGCCCCTATGCTCTCCCGGTGGGGCTTGACTCGAGGACGGTAGTTTTCTTGGAACCTTGGCGCTCCGCGGATCGCGGAGAGCAGCGCTGTTTACAGTACAGACTTCTTGTTGGGGGCCGTCAATGGCAACATTAATATAGAGACGAATGTAACCGCCAATAAATAAGATGAAAGATATGGGGAGATAGAAAGAGTTACTAGTTAGGAGAGCCGAGAGTGAGAGGAGAAAAAACGTGAGCATTATTAAGTAAACAAAAAATGTGAAAAAAAAAAAAATTTATTTAAATTAGAAAGGGAGAAAAAAGATGAACGATTTGGGGGGGGGGGGGGGGGAGAAAGAGTAAGAAGGGGGATAATACAAATAGGCCTAGGCCAAGTAGGCCTAGTGAAGCTGCGAGAAAATTAGTCAAGAGACTCTGAACTGAGAGGTCGAGAAACCAAGGAAAGATAGGGAGAGAGTCGGACATTATGATTAATGTTTGATTTTTTTTTTTAATAATATGAGCTAATTAATGAGATACGTACCTTGTCTAATGGTGGTAGGTTTTGGGATATTAGCATGCAAAATCAAACATGAATACACCCTTTTACGGTTAAGGCCACCATCTTAATTTATGCGTAACCACTGAACTCTAAACTTTGTTTAACCGTAAATTAAAATGGCGCCCATGTCTGCGCATGCACACTGTTGTAACCGTAAACCGGTGTATTGTCAACTTGATTCTTTCAGTCTAACCTGTTATATGAATATTTAAACTGAAAAATAAAATACATGTTATGCTTTGGGATATGCCCAGAAACCAAGAGTTTATCTTCTTACAAAATGATCTAGTTTCAACCCCTCCTTGTTTTGGATGTTTGTTTTTTTCTTCAGACCTTGGCCGCTATTGTTCTTATCGCCTGGGGCTTTGTGATCTATGCTGGGCGTATTACCGCAGTCAAGACCTATCCTGAGTTGGCTGAAAACGTCTGATTCTAGAGGTATAGTATTTCTTTCATCTCAGTAGGGGATTGAAGAAGGACCCATCCACCCCCCCCCCCCTTCTAAGTTCTAACACCCATATCTGATATACAGTACCTGAGATAAAATCTCCCATTTTGTTCCTGTGCCCAGCTTTTAGATTTTAGACCTGAAAAGGCAGAATTTTTTGGGGGAACCACCCTAGCCACTTTGATGTGAAAGCTAAATTTACCTCCCGGTACATGCCAGTTGCCTTTTAGGGAGCTCTGTATGTAAGTACATTGTAAATTGTAACCCTATTGAATAACGTATTTTTGCACATTTGAGACTGTTAGCAGGGCCAGCCCTATATATATATATATATATATATATGTATCCGACTTTCCATATTGGGGCAGGTCCAAGCTATTTGGATTGTGACGTACGGGACATTCAGAGACTTTAAACAAGAAATAACAACAGATGAAATTATTTATATGGCTATCTTTTGGTATATTAGTCTGTGGCTATTATGGGCTAGTTCATTTGTGGAAAGTTTTAGTTCTGACCAACTCTTTAATTAATTTTTAATGTAATTAATGTGCTGCGTGACGTACGGTTTGCAGTAGACTTGTAATGATCTCAACATGTTTTGAACATTCTTCATTTCTTCTGACTTATTCCAGCCTAAAGGCCGAATACTTCAGGCTATGGCCTCAAGAAAGGAAAATGTTTTAAAGTAGTGCTGTAGCCGAACCGCCGAACATGGCACTCCCGAACCGAACCGAACCGAACCGAACGCAAAGGCTTGGTTCGGATGTTCGGCAGAAAAATGTAAACGTTTTTGCAAGCTAATAAACTTGTCATTTTGTACCTAATTTTCATGTCATGATTGCTCATTTTATATTTACTTTTTTCTTATTTTCCGCCTTTGTGATTTATGCCTATCCAGTGGTGGGCGCGACTTCACTGGCGCCATTTAAATCCCAAATCCTGACCACGCTACATCGCGATCGCAAGCCATAAACAAGAATACATGTGCGTGATCAAAACATGTTCAGCTCAAGCCCATTCAACAAAAAAATAATATTTTAATTGTAACAATATCGGACAAATTTTGCAATATAAATAATGAAATAAATATCTATTATAGTATGGCATTTATTTATTCAGGAAAAATAGGGATTTTATATTTTTCCTATTGAAAATAAAAACTTATAAAAAACAGTTATTGACGAGCCTGATTTGCTATTCAAGATGGCATTTTTCATGACTCTAACATTAGCAATGATTAGACAACAACCGTCTCGGAAAATCTTTAAAAAATATTATTTATCGACAAATTGAAAACATGATTCTTTTAAAATTGAAAATAAAACACGATTCAAGACGGAAATACGAATGTAAGAAGTACTTTTCTTCACAAATAATTACGTTTAGAGCAGTTTTGGAATGTGAAATTTGTGCTGGTCGGAAGCAGTGTGCAGAAGTCCTCCGTGCTGGTCGGGCCGGCTAGCCGGCCCGCCCAGTGCCAACCGCCGTGGCTATAACGCGGCTTGCTATTATATTACCGAACCCCGAACCGAACCGAGTTCGGGTGAAAAATTGCCGAACTCTGCCGAACCGAACACGAACATAGCGTCTGACTTACAGCACTATTTTAAAGCCCCACTGCACTACGTATACCTACTTGCGCCCTCTATATAGCAAACAATGACTAAGCAGTGACCGTTGGTCCCCCTTGGTCTTCTTTTTCTTATGTTAATTGAGAGTTGATTTGATTAGATAACAACCTGTCATCGACCATGCAGGGAGGTCTAATCCCTCCTGGCCAAACTAGTGCAGATAGGCTTTAATTGTTCTTCATTTATTTTGAATTCACTGCAGGCTGAGCATCTGATACTCTAGTCTCCGACCTCAAGAAAGATGGAGACTCCTCCAAGAAAATGCCAGGTGGTGATGAGGAAGATCAACCTTGGTGAGAAAGCAACCATGCACAGGTGTGTCGTTCCCATCAAGAGACTCCAAATCAGCAACAGGACGTCACTGAAATCACAGCGAGGAAGCAACAAGCTGTCCCACGTCCAACTCCAGAAGCTACAGGTTCTCCTGCAGAAGTTGAAGCTGAGCAAGGACAGACTTGACAAACCGGTTGTTGTCCAGGGTGACAAAGGACATAGGGAAGACATAGTGGAGAAAACTCTTTTGACAGTACAGCTTCGGAAACTTAGAGTGCTTCTCAACAAGCTGAAACCGAATGATCGATGTGACATCACGGTAACGCAAGACACCAAAGAGAATGAAGAGAAACCTGTGAAGAGTAGTCTTTCCAATGTTCAGCTCCTCAAATTCAAGGTGTTGCTAAGCAAGGTGAAGCTGAACAAAGATGGCTCGATCATGGCTCATGACAAGAAGAACAGAGACAACATGGAACGAACTCTGTCCAATGTCCAACTTCATAAACTGAAAATACTTCTCAGCAAGCTAAAACTAAGCAACGACATACAGGATTCATCCATCATCGTCGATAAAGAATGTGGAATTGTGACATGCCAGCATTCCTTTTCTGCGATGAACAAAAAGCGTTTCCGAGTTCTTCTAAGGAGACTCAAGCTCAACAACATTCTGAAGGGCCATGACCACACTCTTTTCATCGATAAGGAACTGGGCTTTGTAACGAATCCTTACCTTCTCCCAAGCTATTGTCGAGGTCATGTCTGTAAACCCCATCATAGCGTGCTCAAGTTCCGAAGAAGCCGCGCCAGGCAGTGCCGTGTACGCATCAAGAAGATAAACCTGTAACCACTATCTCTTCTTACGACTCAGAGATCGTTCTCCATATACATTTTTTTATCTTTTCAGAATCAGATCTTATTTTATTTTCCAAGGTTTTCAGAGCTTTTTCTGAAAGAAATAGAGGAAGGTTACGCAGATATAGAACATTGCTATATTTGTCTCAATGAAATACCTGCCTGCCTAGTGGTAGACAATGACTCAAAACCAATATAAATCATTAGCCGAATGATCATTGATCAATCAATCCTATCGATAAGTCTTTGCTTAACCCTTATTTTAATTTTGGTGTGAATTTATTTTGGAATATCAATATCTCTTAGACAGGTACTATGAAAGGTAATTTTTGTTTCTTTCTTTTATGAAGTACCGGTAGTTGGGCTAACTTTGAATAATAATTACTTTTTAAGCAAGTCTTAAAGGTACTATGTCCCATTTGCAGGCCAACAAAATTAAAAGGTTAAATTCCAACGGCATTTGAAAGATAATACTAATTCAGGACTTCCCTAAAAAAAGGGGTCTTGAAAATGTCTTTAAGTGGGAAAATGCTACTATTAGATGTTGAATCGACTTAAGAGCTATAGAGCCAGTAAGTAATAGTCTGATTTTCAGACCATTGTACCAAATGGTAGTACGTTTTGCTGTGCAAAGATTCAATCAGTTTAGTTTTGGCCATTACAAGAAGTGGGTTATTGATGTAGAAAAATGCTCATTATTATATGTACCCTTGACAGTTCATTTTTTTTTATTTTGTATGTTATTACCAGAGAAGAAAAAAAAGCCAGTCAGTCACTCAATAGTGTCTGACAGTGAAGTCTAGCAAGTAAACTGGTGTCCTTGCATAATTTGAATATTAGGACACTGCTAACGTTTAAATTTCACAGATAGAACATACATGACATATTCGTAATTCCTGCAAAGTTCTATAGAATTTGATGTTGGCTGCAAAAGGGACATAGTATCTTTAAAGCAAGATGTTAGATTTTGGGTGTTTGAGGGAACTAATTTGTTACATGTAGCTATTACCAGAAGTACATTTTGTGTAGCATTTTCACATTTTTTCAGCAAATGTGCTTTTATAAGATTTGGGGGAGACTTGAATGCTGCTTATAAATTCTAAATGTTTCATGATTTATCTGTACATTTTTTTAATATTAATTTGCACCTTGTGTAAAAACAATTTTATATCACTGGGGCTTTTGGCCTTGCGATTACAACTTTTTGCCAATATTTGAAATGTATGCACCAAGTACATACATACATACATACATGTACATGTACATGACATCTACATACCGTTACCTTCTTAAAATAATGGCCTAAGTCATATTTTTCAAGTTTTAAGAAAAACAGAGAAAACTGAACCAAACATAGAATTTCACACAGAGAGGTTTGGGGATATATGACTAATGAAACTACAAATAATTCTGTCTGTCGAATCGGTTTCATAAGAGGATTAGATTACTCAGTTACTTTGGGTTTACTCAATAATATATATACTTTTTTCTTTAAATGCTTGACTTAGGCAATTATACTATCTAGGTATAAGCAGCATGAATATTATACCAAAAGCTTCAGTCTCTCTATATTGTCAGTTGTTCCACTAGACCTCCGATTATAGATTATGTATTGGGGAATGTCAACAAATGTCAGTTTTATTAAAGAAATGACCCATATCAGACGGTTATTTCTGTCTACATGAATATGTACTATTCAGCACATATGCCATTTAACAAAGGTGGATAGCCTCATGAAGAGATGAATTGGGTAAAAATATAATTTTTTTCAAAATGTGACTTTGGCCATTATTTCAAGAAGGTGACGATATGTGAAATGTGAGTTTAAATAACATTCCCCAGTTTCTACATTTGTTGCAGAAGATGTAATGAAATGATCAATAACAACAGATTGAAAGTGTTAAAATCATGTCTGTTAACAAAAGTTTTATAACTATCGGTAGAGGTCATATAGTGAAGTATTGCAATATACTTGTGGCAGTAATACTGTATATTATAGTTAAGATATTCAGAGTTTATAACTTTATACAGCACACACACACATTTAAAGAAATCATGCAATTCTTCCAAATTTACTTGTTGCATTTTTACAAAGTAGCCAATTTTGCTAAAGCATTGGGCATTGCAAACTCTATTTAGAAAGATATCAGATTGAAAGATATAGATTATATTTTGCTGTGCAATGTGCAAAAATGTTAACCAACCAAATTTGGATCTTACTGGTATTCTAGGTGAGCAGTCATTCAATTTTTCATAGAGAAATCATGGTGTGATTATTTCTTTGTGTAAATTTGTATCACATTTAAGTCATGTTTTGAATCTTCAGCATTTATTTTACTTAAAGGTAGGCGTTACTACTGCAGCTAGAAGGGATTAGACCACACAGCGAGCCAGCGAGGTCACTGTGACAGGTGGCTATATCATTAACTCAGCTCTCATTTAACATAAGAAAAAGAAAATCATGGGGGACCAACAGGCACCGATTTGGGAAGTTTTCTATATAGAGGGAGCAAGTAGCTACAAGGAGGACAGTGTGCCTTTAAAGACCCTGTCGGAAGTGAAAATGAAATAGATGAGTTATATATGAAAGGAAACTAAAGCTTACAAGCCATAGATTACAATAATACCTATTATATAGTACTTTAGAGCCTGTCAGACGAGTAACAGCTCTCTGAAAACTCAAAATCTGAAGCTTGGAAAATCAGGAGTTGTTGACTTAATAAAATCATCATAGTGTGTGGAGTACGCATATTCACAATGACTTTGCATTATTTAAGCACGATTCATCGCCTCGGCTATATAGGCGAGCCGATCGGGTGCACATATTATGTTGTCACTGTAACTGCGGCAAATTTGAACCCTCTTGACCTGTAATTTGGAGAGGTGCAGAAAAAAAGGTTTTAAATCACTTTTGTGCAATATTGAAAGGGAAAATATTTTAAATTCCTTTATATTTGTATTCTATATTCTTTCAGCTTTCCATTGATATAACCAGCCCTGGATATAACATTGTATTTTCATCGGATAGGGTCTTTAACCCCCCCCCCCCCCCCCCCCCTCCTCCACACATATTGCCTCTTGGAAATTTATTTACATATAAAATATTGCCACAGTGGTTTTATGCAGTTCATCGCATCTTGTCAGATGGACTAACCATAGAAATTAATCGCTTGTGATGTTCTTCTTTTGCTTCGGTGAAGTCTGCTTCCTTCAACCTTAAAGATTCTTGCATAACTTTGAGAAAGTGTGTGTCATACCCTGTTGAAATAAAAACGAAATAAATAAATAAATAAGATTGTAGAGGCATGAACTACATTATATGAAAGATGTTTGCCAATGCTTTTCTATTGCATGCTACTGCTTTCCACTGGGCCAATTTCATAAAATAATCAAATTTAATGCATACGTCTTGGTAAAGTACCTTGATGCAAATTATTTTATTCACCCGTTACAAATTATTGTATTTCAATAGTCAAAATGGGAATTGCATGCATTAGTTGTTGCTAGCTATAACCCCCCGCCCCCCCCCCCCCCCTAAAAAAAAAAGAATAGCTTGCCCTATTTAACAACATGCAATATATATATACATGTATATGTTATTTGCATACTGACTATTAAAATACAATTATTTGCAACAGGTGAATGAAATAATTTGTATCAAGTCACTTTAATTTGGTTGCATTACGAAAATGTCCTATTCATCTGATATGCTACCGCCCTTCCCCCTTCCCCCTGACTTCATAACATTCTACAAAACATGAGTACTTTGTCCTTTTCTTTTTCTTTCTTCATCACATATACTGCAAGACACAGCAAGGATTTTAATTTACATGTAATTTGCAGTTAATTTAGTTGCTGCATTGCTAGTATACATTGTGTGGTTTCATGCTAGTTTGTGCATTTGCAGTTTGTAAACTAATAATGTTGTGTTTAATTCAATTCACATGTATTTTGTTCTGAACCAATACCGATCATGTTTTTCACGCTTGATTGACAATAATAAACACGTTTTTGGCAGACAGTTTTACATTTGCAATTACTATGGTGTAGTACTAACATAGATCCAGTTTCATAAAACTGAAAAATAACAAGTGTCATGATATTTGGCTAGTTATCGGCAGCTGATGACATGCTATGTTTTCAATAATTATATGAATTGTATTGCATGAAAAAAGTATTGCAAAACACTTAGTTTCATGAAACAAGGTCTAGCCTGTTGCAGAGGACTGTGTGTGAGGAGTAGAATAAGAGATATGGTAATAGGTTGCAGATGCATGGCTGTGCAAGAGAGGGCACAATTTTCCTAAAATCCGCCCCCCCCCCCCCCAAAAAAAAGGTACCATCTCAAAAGAAGGGGAGGCACATTCTCGGATTTTTTTACTAAAGGTATGCTGCTCTGGTTTCAAAAGGGGTATGGGTCACTTGTGTGGCCCCCCCCCCCCCCCAAAAAAAGAATAAAATCCACTAATGGAATTTTGTTATCCTTTTTGTCGTTGATAAACTACATGTTCATCATTTACTTTGTATGAACTGATGTGAAGGACTTGTAGTAAAGACAACCACAAACACTAAATCTCTCCCAAAGATTTGGGCATTCTGCTGTTCTCCACCTCATCCTCATTCTATCTCTCCAACTTCTCTTTTCTTTCACTTCCCACCCTCTCTTTGTGCTTTCAATTTCCTCTCTTCTCCATCTTTCCTTGGATCACAGAAAACCAAATTATCTCTTCCTTCTCAAGATCAATCTCACTACAACCATGACAGATACAAGTATTAAAGTGAACCGGTAACATTGTGGAAGGTTGATGAAAGAAATTCGTAATTTTTGTATGAAATGTTACTTATTATATTCCTTGTACTGTACTAACCCTCTAACATGCACAAAGTTCTCAAACCACAAAGATGTTTATGGTTTTCTTTTAAGGCGTCACTGTGCGACACCCTCTAAAAGTAAATTCTCCCAACCAACTTTTGAATTTTCCAAACCATTTTTTCTCATCTGAACAATGTTACCAAGTCCCTTTAACAGCTTATCATACAATCTAACACTACTCAGTTGAGTAAATATCCAGCCATTGCATAGATTTTTTTTCTTCAATATTTAATTTCATAACAATACATATAATTCATCTTTGCACAAATTCTAAACTAGTAAACAATCCAGCTTGCCATGCCCCAAAAATCCATTCACACAAGAGAATGTAAATTCCTATCTGTTATATTCACAAATCACAGAATTATACTCCTTCAAATTCACTCTGGACCGGTAAATAAAATCATCTCAAAGAGGAACATATGTCCAATTATTTTACAGAGGAAAGTGAATATTACTGGAAATCATCCCCACACTTCTACAACTTATCAAAACTTCATTGACACATCTGGTTTTAAGCAATCCTAAATCCATGGAAATGGTCACTTTCTAATAAAATGTGTTAAATGGTTTGGTAGTACAGCCATGATCACCGACAAATGTTTTCTGAATCATAAATATGGATATAGAGGATGAGGGATCGAAATAGCTACACTACTGGCCTTGAAATATTCAGGCAGGGCATTGTACAACATTGCATACAGGAAATAATATGCTGGAGTTTCAACTTATCCCCTTCTTTCAACATTGCAATCATTGCTCAACAAAGACAAGAGAGAATATTGAATTAAAAGAGAGCAAGGGAAAACAACATGCAGATGCTCCTCATATCAGTACAAATCCTTCTATGAGCTTTTCATTAAAGTCGCATACACCCTCCAATAATTTTATTGCTCTACATTCAAATAACATTTGCAATAGAAAAGATGTGGTTCTGGAGATGAAATTTAAAAGACGCAGATGATGTTGGGTAATGCTGGAAGTGTGGACATCTTTGTAGTCATGGCAACAGGGCAGCGCTAGTGATACACAAGTTGTAGAGTGAGAAGGGTCACTCCATGATGGCCATTATTTATAATGCTTGAACGTCTGTGGTGCAGTCTGCAGGAAAGATAAGGAAAAGAAGAAAAAAATTATAAAAACAATCCTGAATCGAGCTCAATAAGGAACACTTTCGATGTTATATTGATAGAGTTGGGGCATGGACGTAATACGGATGGACATTCAACGTGATTCTTTCTTTGATCCAATCATAGTCGCCGCCTTCTGATTATGTGCATCTTAATGAGAACATTCAGCTGTTTTAACAATAACGACTGCGTAAGCATTTTTGTTCATTGATAAAGGAACAGTTTCCCTCTCTTGGGTTTTGTTTGATTTGATTTGATTTGATAAGGTTTTATTCAAATATTCAACAATACAGCTGGAGGCTGATGCAAGTGAATTTACAAGGTAAAAAAAATTCCATAGACATAAAAATATAATTATATGCTTTAACACTTTTAAATGATTCCAGGTATAAACAGTACATAGTAAATAAATCATAAATAATGAAATAATAATTGTTTGGATGGTGTGCTCTGTAAGAGTGTGTCTTAAATGAAAGCATCCTCAATGGGGAGCAGCAAAGTTGAAAAGCAGATGATTTTGGTGATATGAAATGTATTATTACTGATTCGCAAACTTTCGCACACACCTATGACCTTATAAAACAATTAGAAGGCCATGATCTGTATCAGCCCTGTGCGTTGTAACTCTGGAATATTATGAGGAAATAGGGGGAAACAGGATTTTAAATCACAACCAAAAAATCCAAAAATAACCTCCATCTGGTAATATCAACATGTTTTTCAAAAAAAAATACCTGTACAGTACACGGAACAACAATTTCCGATTATAAGCCAGAACTGCACATCTACATGTATTTTCCACGATTTAGGCGAGTAATTATCTTCTGCGCATGTAGATTAACATGTGTAAATTCACTATCTTGATTCTGTCCCGGCTTTTTGCCGGAGACCATGATGAGACCAAAGGGAAGAAACATGTACAGAATTTAATTGAGACGTCATTGACGGAGACAATCACAATGAATTCGTTAAGAAAACAATGAATGTCCATCCGTAATAGGTCCATGGTTGGGGTAATGAATATAGGTTAACATGTACATGTACATCACATTAAAGGTAAAGACCAGTATTGGAAACGCCCCAATTTAAAAAAATGAAATGGAAGCTCTTATTACCAATCATGTGAAAGAATATGTTTTGACTAATACATGATGATAACAATTTTGCCGGGAAACCACCTACTAATTGATATAATTTGGTAAATTAGTTTATCTATTGGTATGTGAGAGATAAACGCATGTGTCGCGCATGTGTGTGTAGTCCCATATACATCTTTCTGTGTACAGTGCTTGTAACTTTACAAATACTAGGTCAAATTTCTTATCATTTTGATGATTCCAGAACCTTGCAGTACACACCAATACTTATTTGGCAGTACAACCACAAAAATGATTTAGAACAGGGTTTGATACTGACTGACAAGGGTCATGAGCACCTCAATCTTAAAGCCTGTCTGCATTGGTTTGGCAAGGGGGGGGGGGGGGGGATTAGACCTCCCTGCAAGATCACCGACAGGTGGCTATCTCATCAAATCAGCTCTCAATTAACATAAGAAAAAGGGGACCATGGGGGACCAACAGGCACCACATAGGCATCGTTTGCTATATAGAGGGCTCAAGTAGTTATAAGTATGGGGCAGTGGGGCTTTAATCTATAGTCATCGGTACTCACGCAATGATCCACACAATGAAGGAAGTCAAAGAATTCCTCTGTACATGTCTCCTCTGTGTTAGACTTGGCACTGACACGGTCTGTGCAGGCATCAAAGGTCTCCTTCAAGGCGGCACAGTGTCCTGTTGCCTCGCAATCCTCCCTGATCTTATCTCTTGGGTCCTGTAAACATAAACAATGCACACAAAACATCAAACAGGGCCCCGTTTCATAAAACTTGATATCAATAACAAGTTACAAGCTACTGTTATAAGCTACCAAAATCATGGCATCTGATTGGCCAAGAGCAAAATTGTCATAGAAATTTAGCAGTTGTTATAAAAAGTTTTATGAAACGGGCCTAGGCTGTAGTGATCACCTGATAGAAAGACCACATTTTTCATGCCCCCAAAGCCACTTCTCATTGAAACCTGTATTAAAGAAACCTGTCTATCGGTATACAGACTGCTTATACAGATTGCTTTTCTTGTCTTCCATGAACGGTCTTTCTGTTCTTGTATAGCTCATATCACATTATGATACCATCCCTAACTGCTTCCAAAGAGCGTTTGAAATTATTACCCGGCTTTACGTATCTTAGGTATCCTGTATCAAAGGAGTACTCCGACCAGGTACCCATTTACACATACCTCACCTGTGTGAGT